GTACGTATGTATATTTATTTAGATGTTCAAATTGTCCCAGGTACGTGTGTGTGTGTGTGTGTGTGTGGAATGTACTAGAAGCCATGAGTTTATACCTCCAGTTTACATCCTCCACTGAATTCTTCCTCGCTTTCTCCATTCCATATATGCATCTCTCTTCCTGCTCAATCCTACGTACCATATACAGTAGTCCCTCTCTGTCCGTGGGGGATATGTTCCAAGACCTCAGAAGTTGCCTGAAACAGTGGATAGTACCACACCCTATATATACTGTTTTTTCTTATACATAGCGATGATAAAGTTTAATTTATAAATTAGTAAGAAATTAACAATAATAACAAAAGAGAACAATTATATTGTAATAAAAGGTATGTGAATGTAGTCTTCCTCAAAATATCGTACTGTCCCCACCCTTCCATCTATGATGTTGTGGGGTGGTACGAGGCCTACGTGATGAGATGAAGTGAGGTGAAATTTTCCACTTAATTTTCGAACTGCGACTGGAAACTGTGGGAGGTAAAACTGAGGATAAGGGGGACTACCGTAAGGATCGTCACATTCGCTAGACTCATTCCATGACAAAAAACCGACCTGGAAAGAAGGTTTCTTGTTTATGGTGTGAGGAATCGGTCTAATTTTATCCTTTTTTTAAATAAATGGCTACTCATTTGTCCCAATATCATTTATTTAAAAGTCCTTCTTGATCAAGTATTAAATTTCCATTTGTACTTGAGTTTATTTCCAGACATTCTAACCTATTTCAGCTGTCTGCCTGTCTATTAATGTACCAGTACCACAGATTTAATTAAAGAATCTGTGTCCTGTGCTTTAATATCTAGTCGGGCTAGTCCCTCTCCTCCTCCCTCCCCCACCCTTCTTATCTTTTCCTTTTCAGGGTTTTCCTGGCTATTCCTGCATGTGTATTTTTCTATATGAACTTTGTTATCAACTTGCCTACCTATCCAGAAAAAAAATTGTTAGTATTTTTATTGGAATATCATTAAATTTGTCAAATTAACTTAGGGAAAACTGGTATCTAGATGATGTTGAGGCATCTTATTCAAGAAGAAAATCTTTCCATTTGTTCAAGTATAATTTTGCATCTTCAATATTCTATAATTTTCTAAAAATAGATTTTGCACATTTCTTGTTTATTTCTAAATGCTGTTATCTTTTTGGCTGTTATTAGGTTTTCGCATGTTAATTTTATATCCTGATACCATGCTGAATTCTCTCATTGTTTGAGTTTGTTTTATCATTGATTTGCTGGAGTTATGCAGGTATATTATATGTCATTTGTAATTAGACATAGTTTTACTTCTTTTTTTCTAATTCTATGCCTCTGCTTTCTCCTGTCTAATTGCATTATCTAATATCCCCTGGACATTGTAAAATGATAGTAGATATAATCTGGAAATGCATTTAGTATTTTCTTACTAATATGATGGCTTTAGGAGTCAAAGGAAAGTTTATTAGAGAAGGGGTAACGCTCCATAGACATAGCGTGGTCTCCGCTCAGAGGCAGATAGTGCGTGAGACTAAGAGAGACTCAGAGGGACAGAGACGATAGAGGGACACTGTACAGTGAGGGAGACAGAATAAAGGCACTGAGAGGAACTCTGAGTGCTCAGGGAATTCAGTTGATATGTTCTTTGTTTCTGTGAGTTATAGTTTTAAGACTTTGTTAACGCACTTTCCTTCCATACGGGCACACAGTGAGGAAGGGGAAGAGGAGTGTGAAAATGTAACAATATGTAGCATGAAAGGCCTGCTGGAGGGTCTCAGCCTTTGATCCATAGGTTCCCCATGTTTTTAGCCATAGGGAATGAATGATTTTATTTTGTGTAGTGGGCCACTCAAAGACTCTGTTTTCCCTTCAGATGTGGGGAAATGGGTTGTTAGCAATCCCAGCAGAAATCTTCCTTTGTTTTTCAGATTTCCTCTTTGGCCGTAGGGCTGATCTGCTCATGGCAGTTTCTTAATATAGCTTGATTTAACATTTTAGTTCCCTCGTCACCTCCCTACATTACTTCATTTTTCATTATGTTGACGTTTTGAAAAGTTGAGGCCAGCTATTTCATAAATTTTCTCAGCTTGGTTTGTTCTGATGTATCCCATAATTAGTTTCAATTAGATTATACATTTTTGGCAGAAATATAAAAAACATTAGGACCTTTACAGAGTATCACATCCAGAGGCACCTCATGTCTGTTTGTCCCTAATTAGTAATGTTAATTTTAATGATGTGGTTAAGTTCATGTCCATTTCTCCAATATACAGCTATAATTTCTTTTTAATAAGTGCTTTGTGAGGAGACACTTTGAAATAAATTTAAATATCTTGTTTTTTTTTTTATCAAACTCCTCATGCCCCCAGATTTAGCATCTATTGAATAATTTTTCCTGAATCAGTTTTTAGTATGATAGTCTAAACCTATTATTTCTTTCATATTTATCAGTGTTATCAGTATGGATTCATGAACTCTTAATTTTATTCAATGCATTTTAATCCATTACTGTTTTTATTATGTACATGTACGTATGTATATTTATTTAGATGTTCAAATTGTCCCAGGTACGTGTGTGTGTGTGTGTGTGTGTGGAATGTACTAGAAGCCATGAGTTTATACCTCCAGTTTACATCCTCCACTGGATTCTTCCTCGCTTTCTGCATTCCATATACGCATCTCTCTTCCTGCTCAATCCTACGTACCATATATAGTAGTCCCTCTCTGTCCGTGGGGGATATGTTCCAAGACCTCAGAAGTTGCCTGAAACAGTGGATAGTACCACACCCTATATATACTGTTTTTTCTTATACATAGCGATGATAAAGTTTAATTTATAAATTAGTAAGAAATTAACAATAATAACAAAAGAGAACAATTATATTGTAATAAAAGGTATGTGAATGTAGTCTTCCTCAAAATATCGTGCTGTCCCCACCCTTCCATCTATGATGTTGTGGGGTGGTACGAGGCCTACATGATGAGATGAAGTGAGGTGAAATTTTCCACTTAATTTTCGAATCGCGACTGGAAACTGGGAGGTGAAACTGAGGATAAGGGGGACTACCGTAAGGATTGTCACATTCGCTAGACTCATTCCATGACAAAAAACCGACCTGGAAAGAAGGTTTCTTGTTTATGGTGTGAGGAATCGGTCTAATTTTATCCTTTTTTTAAATAAATGGCTACTCATTTGTCCCAATATCATTTATTTAAAAGTCCTTCTTGATCAAGTATTAAATTTCCATTTGTACTTGAGTTTATTTCCAGACATTCTAACCTATTTCAGCTGTCTGCCTGTCTATTAATGTACCAGTACCACAGATTTAATTAAAGAATCTGTGTCCTGTGCTTTAATATCTAGTCGGGCTAGTCCCTCTCCTCCTCCCTCCCCCACCCTTCTTATCTTTTCCTTTTCAGGGTTTTCCTGGCTATTCCTGCATGTGTATTTTTCTATATGAACTTTGTTATCAACTTGCCTACCTATCCAGAAAAAAAATTGTTAGTATTTTTATTGGAATATCATTAAATTTGTCAAATTAACTTAGGGAAAACTGGTATCTAGATGATGTTGAGGCATCTTATTCAAGAAGAAAATCTTTCCATTTGTTCAAGTATAATTTTGCATCTTCAATATTCTATAATTTTCTAAAAATAGATTTTGCACATTTCTTGTTTATTTCTAAATGCTGTTATCTTTTTGGCTGTTATTAGGTTTTCGCATGTTAATTTTATATCCTGATACCATGCTGAATTCTCTCATTGTTTGAGTTTGTTTTATCATTGATTTGCTGGAGTTATGCAGGTATATTATATGTCATTTGTAATTAGACATAGTTTTACTTCTTTTTTTCTAATTCTATGCCTCTGCTTTCTCCTGTCTAATTGCATTATCTAATATCCCCTGGACATTGTAAAATGATAGTAGATATAATCTGGAAATGCATTTAGTATTTTCTTACTAAGATGATGGCTTTAGGAGTCAGGTTTATGTATATATGAAAGGTATAAATACTATATTTAAGGAAGTATCCTTTTATACTTATTTTTCTATGTGTCCTATCCATCCATTTATCATTATCTAATCTAATCTGATCTAATCTAATCTATCCGTCCCTGCCTGTTGTTCCATCTGGTTTCTTCATTTCGTTTAATGCTTTTTGCCCTTAACCTGGAGGGGGAGTCCTCTTTCTCATGCAGTGTCACTCTAGCGCCCTCTACTGACAAAGTTTAGCATCATGGCCCTGCTGGCAAAGCAAAAATAAAAGGTTCGATCCATTTTTGCAGAGCGGCAATGAAGGGAGGATTTGGAGTTGAGAAGCAAAAATCGATAAGTGTTTTGAAGCTATTTAAAAAATATTTTACATTTACCGACATATTTACCCTTACCGGTGCTTTTCATTCTTGCCTGTAGTTCCACCTTTCCATCTGGAATCATCTTGTTTCTGCCTAAAGAATTACTTAAAAGATTTCTTTAGTGCAGATGATAAACTCTTAGCTTTTGTTTGTCTGAAAGAAAAATCTTTATTTTTTCTTTATTTTCGAAGATTTGTTTTTGCTTTTTTGTTTGTTTGTTTGTTTTCGGAAGGTATGGTGACATTTTCCCTTTACCACTTTAAAGATGTCTTTCTGTTGTGTTTTTGGCTTACATGATTTCTTCTTTTGTAAGTTTTTATTTAGAAATAATTTCAAACATACAAACATTTCCCAAAATAATAATGTTTCCATATGCCCTTCGCCCAGCTTGTCCATATTACAGAACCATAGTGCACAATGATCGAAACTAGAAAATTACATTGATACGGATATTATTCAGATTTTGTGTTGTTCTGCCTTTCTTCTTCAACACACTGTTACCAGTCGCAGTGGTGGTTACTTGTTACAGAGGAGAACCTGGAGAAGACTAGGAGAGCCTTATACCCCCCAGATCTTTTCTGTGGGGTCCCTGGTGCCCAAAGTCAGATGGTGCTGTGCCTCCTGGGAGGGCAGACCCTTAGGTCAGATTCATAGCCTTGACCAGGAAGAGGCTGCTCCATGTGAATTCGTCAAAGAGCATGATGATGAAGGGCCGGTTGAAGTGGATGGTGATAGGCTCAGACTCCACCTTTAGGCTGACTCCAGTGGGGGCAGCTTCCTGCACGCCCTTCTCATCGAGTTGCAGCATGGCTTTGTGGACCACCTGTTGGGATGGACCGAAGGTCAAGCACCAGCTGTGCGTTGGGCACTTTCCACGCCTCGTTGCTTGGGCTCCTCCTATGCTCAGTTCTATGGATGATGAACCTGAGGCTCAGAGGTCACTTGTGGGCTCCTCATCTAAATGGCAGCCCCCAGGACTGGAGCTGAGGTCTGCCCACCTCCAGAACCTGGGCCACGCCTAGACTTCCTCCTTAGGAAGCGTGCAGGTGGGCCCACCACATGGTGTGAACTGGACCTTATCGGGTCGTGGGCTGGTAGAGGAAGCCCTCGCCCCCTTTCTACTTCGCTAATTAAATACTAGGGTTCAATTTATGCAGAGTGCTTGTGCCCACTCTGTACGGCAAGGCCGGTCTCCATGCTGAAACATCCCTTGGAATCAAAATTAGTAGGAATTCTGAAATTGGCAAAATGTTTGAGTAGCTCGTATCAAAAGCATCCCGGGGATCAGAAGTGGCTAATGAACTGCATTCTATGGTTAATAAGCACTCTCATTCCAGTAAGGAACTGGAGGCTCCAGAGTGGCTCTGGATGTGGGCACACATCGCTAGGAAGGAGCCGAGCTGCGCTAGGAACCCCTGTGGTGTGTTTTGGGAAATGAGGTTTTGAGTGGAACAGACCCTAGGTCAAATCCCAGGCTGTTATTCACTTGCTCTGTAGCCGTGGTGGGTTATTTACCCTCCCCAAGCCAGAGATTGCTCCTCTGAGCAATGGGGATAATACCCACTGTAAAAGGAGGTGGCCATTAGACTCGGTCCTTCACACACCATTATGATTTTTTCCTGCTCTTTCTTTTGTTTTGTCACCCACAGGACTGTGAAGTCCTGTGAGGGCAGGGCCACGTCTAAGCAATGAAGACATATCCAGTGCCTAACGCAGTTTGGGGCACATTGTAGATGTTCAGTAAATGTTTTCTGAATGAATAGATGAATGGATGGATGAACAACAGAACATAAAGCTGAAGGATGAAGATAACGAATGTAACTGGGCAGAAGGTTCAGTGTGATCTCCTCCAGACATTTCCCATTTTCCCTGTTCCTTTTTGCTGGGGGTGTGTTTTGCACAGTGTCCCCTCTGTGTGTCCTGGTGGAATAAGTAGACGCCCAGGCCGTGGTCCTCCCTCGTCACTCGCTTCCTGTGTGATCTTGGGGACAGCACTTTTCTTGCTGAATCTCTACTCTGTTTGTTGCAAAATAGAGGCTTGGACGAGGCTTGGAGCTCTCAGCCTGGGGCCTAGAGGCCTACTCAGAAGTGGATTCCATGTTGCTTATTATTTGTATAATAATAAATACATTGGGGGAGAATGATAGGATCCAGAGACACTTACCTTTGACAACTTCAGCTGGGACTCTTGGGTGATGCCTGAGAAATTCGCCTGCTGGGTGAGCAAGTCTGCAATACCCATGTCCTCCAGGAGGCTCCCGAGGTCATAGGCTTCAGAGATGGAGACCTTTGGGATGTACAGGTCCACCTGTCTGCTCGGGGGGAAGCGGATGGGGTTAGACTGTCCCGGGGCCTGGCCAGCCAGCCAGACTCTTGTTTCCTCTGTGATGGCTCCAGACCCTGGTTCCCAGCTGGACACACTCTTTGGGGCAGGGGAAGGGACAAGGACAGGGCAGGATATGCCTCTTCCTTTACCACATGGGCAGCTTCCTCTCTGGGCCTCTGAATTGGAAAGTTTTCAGCTCTTTGAGCTGATTCCACCTGCAATACAGCTGGACCACTGGGTTGTGGACAAACGGGTCTCTAAAGAAGTCCTTGTGCCCCACGTCACCCCTGGCAATTGCGGAGGAGTGGAGGAGGCCCCTGGCTGGGAGCAAGCGTCTTGGCTCCAGCCGTGCCACTAATGCTCGGTGGCATAGGCATGGCCTGCCCCTCTCCGTGCTTGTCCACATCCACACAGCAAGGCAGCATAGGGCCACTAGGGCCTCTGTTAGGGCTTGTCTGTGCCAAAGCCCTCAGATAGATTCTGCAGGAATTCGATGACTGGCCTGCAGTTTCCACTGGATAAAGCAGGTGAGGTTTCTAGAAAGTAAGAGGAACCGTGCCGGGAATGGAGTGCGTACGTACCGAAAGCTTTTTGCATATCAAGACATTAATTTCATTTAAAAATTTCTTCCTTTTCCTGCTCTCTAGAGGGAGAGACGATGTCTGAAACTCTGAGGCGGAGGGCCGTCAGCGAAAGGGCACGAGGCCTTCTCTGCACTGAGCAGCCCTGGGGAGGGCTGGAGCGCAAGCAGCCGAGACGCGCTTATTATTATTCAAGGGGAAACGGAGGTGGAATCACAGGTGAGCCTGACGTGGAATCCTCCTCTCGATGGGGAAATAGTAGCAGAAAATAAAGGAGACGGGCCTGCACTAAGCACCTGGTGGGCCGTGGTCGCCTTCTCTGTCTCATCTAGTCCGCGCGTGCTCACGCAAGCCTAGCACGTCAGAATCACCTTCAGTGTCCAGACTGAGAGACCGAGACTCAGGGGAGACTGAGGAATTCCTCCAAGGTCACGCCACTGGGAAGCAGCAGAGACGTGAAGAGCCCAGGACTAATCCTCACCCTGGGAGAGCCGCCTAATCCTCACCCTGGGAGAGCCGCAGGCACCACGCAGCGCAAGGGGACGGGAGGAGGGAGGGAGGGTGGACGCTCTGTGAGTGGGGCCCAGAGGCTTCCTGTGGCAGGGGGGCGCAAGCTGGACCCGAAGGACGCAGGCTCGGGTGCACTGGACAGCATGGCGTGGAGATGCCGAGGGGAGAGATGGGAGAAGAGGTGACAGGCGTGGAGGTGAGGGACCCTAGGGTCTCTTCTGGCACTCGGTGGACATCATTTGGATTGAACAGAGAATCGATGCTCAATCACACATGAGGGCTGATAGTGTAAAATTTTACCTTGGATGTTTATTTTTAAAAAATATTTTGAGAAAATAGCATGTGTTATTGATTAATGGTAAGTTAGAGAAATTTAGTGAAGAGATTATTTTGATATAAAGGGAAAGATTATCTACCTCATTTGCAACACACTAGGGTCCAGGATTTGTTAGAATCTTGGTATATTCATTATCAGCACCTGCTGGCTGTGCACCTGGATTATAGGTTCCCTTCGTGGGGGCGGGGTGAGGTGGGGTGAGACAGGTGAAATGGTGAAGAGCCGGCAAATGGATCCCTACCATCACCCACACACAAGCTCACATGTACCCCTCTCCTCCCCTCCCCCACTCACACATACTCAAGGACAGGTATGTCTGGTTCCAGGACTCCAAGAGTGCCATCTGTGTCCCCACATAGCCGTAGGAGATCCCCCTGAATCGCAGAGCTGACCACACCCCTCTTCCCTGCAGGGGTGAGGTCAAACTCCCAGGCACCTCCACTCTACTCACCTGCTGGATTAACCCCTCCAGAAAGACCAGCACTGAGTAGTGGAGGGTGTAATTCGAAGTAAAAATAACTCGAAACCATAGAGCTCAAAACCGACATATATAATAAAGTAGAAGAGCTTCTTTCTAGATTTTCTGTCCGTAAATTATTGGGTTACCAAGTTCCTTTGAGCAGATGTTTTCTCATTCTTTACTGCTGCTGCCCGGCCCTGCCGGAGCCCCGGGCACTGCCTCCCTGGCGTGGCCGGTGCCACTCCCTCTTCTACTGCCCGCTGGCTGAACTTCAGCTTGGGCTTACTGCACAGTTCAAAGCCAAAGCAATCTGCTCTGGAGCCCCTTCCCCGACTCCTGGGCCCGAGTGGGGCACCCCATCCCGCCCCCGCGTTTTACACGTCTCCTTCCCTCTCTCGCTCTGACAGTGCTCATGTCCTTGTGCCACTGTTAATTCCAGCAGAATCTGCTTCTGCTCTGAAGTGCATGTCTTTGATGTCTGTATTTTGTCTTATTCACCATTCCATCCCTTCTGCTTAGCCTCGAGCGTGGCACACAGCAGATGCTTCCATTTATATTAAGTGAATGAATGAATGAATGAGTGAATGAAAGAAACGGCACCTATTCCATGAGTCTTCCTAGCTACTCTGGTTCCAAGTGGCTGCTCCCTCCCCTGCATCCCCTTCGCCCTGAGTCTGCACCACCCTACCCACCAGCAGGTCCCACATTGGTGGGCGTTATTCTGATGGCTCCTGTACAGACAGAACTCGAATCTCCCAGGAGTGAGGACCATGTTCAAGAACATCTGCTCCCACCTCCTTTAAGGAGAGGATCGGGGCTGGGCATCTGCTCGATCGTAATTTTGATTGTCCTCTAGCTCAGAGGTGCCTGGGGGGAAATAAATCCATGTTTTTATTCATTCATTCATTCGTTTGTTCATTCATTCATTGCTGGGCCAACACTCCCTGAGTGTGCACTCTGAGACTGCCCCTTGCTTGGGCCTGAGATTCATTGGCTGGTTCTCCTGACCACTGACCCATCAGCTTGGACGCTCCTTACTCTTTTTTTCCTTATTCATTTATTACCTACCTATGTCCTTATTTTCTTACTAATTTACTGGTTGACTGAAGAAGAGTTAGATCCTCTGAGTGATTTGAGAACCATTCATAGGCTTTGTGTTGGTTCCATGATGGATGTAGTAGTCATTTTCATGATATTTTTTAAGGTAGTCTCTTGACAATCTTTTGCAGTGCTTGGTTTCAGGTAAGCAAGATAATAATATCGGTAAGTAGGGGGCTGGGTGATCGGTGAACTCAGTTTGAGAAAACAATGCAAAACTGTGATAATACAGAGTGTGGCTATTAACTTCTCAGGGAAGAGGGACCCCACTCTGTGGAATGCCCCAAAGTATCTCATTGCCAATCGATAGATGAATAAATAAATGTGACTTCTAGGTCAGAGACCCTCATGGCCTTTGGGAACCCAGCAGACAGAAAAACAATGAGCCCGGAAGGCAGATGCCCAGGTGCACCCCCTTTTCTACCCTCCCACTTTCTGGGAACATGTCCACTGCAGCGGTCAACACGGTTGGCTAGAGGGCTTACCTGCTGGTCAGGGAGTCGGACCACCTCTGGATGGTGTCCCGGCTCAGCGCAGTGACGACCGCGTCCATCTCCCCCGCGTTCGGGAGGACGAAGAAGACGGTGCTGTTGCCCACGTAGTCCAGCTGCACCAGCTGGCAGGGGAGCAGCGGGTCCTTAAGGTACTTGATCTCCCTCGACTGGAACATCATGGGCACTTGGACCAGGGTGGTCTCGTTCACGTAGAAGTTCTCCTCCCTGGTGCTCCCCTGGTCGAAGGGGTGTGCCCACATGCCTGCGAGAGCAGGGAGCGGAGGGCGGGAGACAGGTCTGTGAGAGCAGGAGCTTAGGTGGCAGCAGAGTGCCAGGGGAGACCACTAAGCAGGTGAGCAGCTCTCCTCACCCTGGAAGGTCCCCACCAGGGCCTCGAGCGTTTCTTGGTAAGATGTGTAATTCCCAGAGGCTTAAAGCCCGTTCCATCCTCTAGTCCTTGGCGTGGATCGAGGATTAGTTCTATTTCTGGGACTGGCCCCTACAAATGGAAGGAGGGCATGAACGAGAGGATGCTGGCCTTAGGCATCGGAGTAGGATTCAGTAAACCAGACTGCCTCGTCGCCCCTGCCCCTGAGTGGATCCTGGAGTGGGGGGCTCCAGAAGTGGTGCTGGATCTCAGCCTATGAATTCAAGGTCGGGGTGGGGGGAGGTTTGGAGCAATGGACCATCCATTCCATCCGCACCCCTTGATGTCCTGGCCACAGAAGCCCAGAAGGCAGCCTGGCTGCCCAGTCGACTGCACCCATTCCCCTGTGGGAGGTTCCTGACCTGCCTCATAGACCAAGGGCTACACTACTTTTCCTGGAAGCGGAGCCAGGGGAGAAGATTCCTTCAAGGTCACAGGCTCCCACCCTCAGCTGGACTCAAATTCCCTTCACCATGTTCCACAACATCATCACAGCCTGTTTGCTCTCCTTGTGTTGGGGAACTCATCACCTTCACAGATGGAACTTTCCACTGCTGGTCAGAACCAAAGCCTGCCCGATTGTAACGCCTGCCCGCTGAGCCTCTTTGGCCCTTCTGAGCTTATTCCAAACAAGTCTGGGTCTCCTTGCAGGTGGCAGATCTTTGGATATTTAAAGACATGGGTTGAATTTCACCAGGGCTCTAGGTTAAGTCTCCCAGGGTCTGGAGATGACCGAGGACCCTGAGTCTAATGGGTCCCAGGTGTGCTGGCTGCCCTTGCCCTCAAGCCCAGAAGCCCTTGCAAAGTCAGTGTTTCCCAGCTGAAGCTGCCTGAAGGCGGCCAGAGCACAGCTCAGGCAGAGCCTTCTCCATCCCTCTGCCTTCGGGATCAATGGATTGTGAAGCCAGAACTCTCGGTTCTGAGCTGGCCTATAGGCTACTAATGGACACGACAGGGAGAGGCTGGGAGATGTAGGGGAAAGAGCTGCGGATGCAGAACCTGGAGACCCGCGGTATGTCTGGTCCTTCCCTACGGACTGAGTGTGAACTCAGGCCTGTCTTTCTCACAGCAGATGAGATACTTTGACGATTCTCAAACCATCCTCCGAAGAATGTCTGGGGTCCTCGGAGCCGAAGGGGCTGGACCAATTCACAGTAAAAAGGTGGGTTAAATATTTTTTCCCGTTAGGTTTTCATCTTGAAAAGTTTGCTTTTTCCTGAATATTTCTTTTGTAGAAGCAAGCATAATGTATTCAGTTTGGCATAAAACAACATACAGAAGGAGGTCTAACCTCTACTTTAAGGGATTTCTTCTTGAAAATTCTTGGGCCAGGAGAACTCATGGTAGAGAAGCTTAAGAACTTATTGGGAATCACAGAGATCAAGGATGATTCCCTTTAGAAAATCTTTTAACAGTATTTTTAATGTTTTCCAAAAAAGAGCTGTCAAGAGCATTCATTAAATAAGGAACACGCAAGGGACACTTACGTGCCCTAAGTTAGTGATGACAGCTGTGCCTCTCTTCATTTCCGTTTATTATTCTGGCTTGCTGGCAATATTTCAGGGTGTTCCCCAGCTCAAACAGGGGCTTGCCAACTAGTTCTGCTGCATCACAGAAAATCTGTGCACAATAAGGCAGCCTACACCCTTATCAATGTCTAGTCCTGCATTCAGATGTTCACAATCTCCCCGATTTTATCACCAGGAATTACTGATTCCCATCAACTCAGCCACACTGTGGTCGTGAGGATGCTGGGAACTGTGAGAGGGAAGCCCTGTGCCGAACGATGCTGTGTCAGCACCTGTCCCACCAGCCCAAGCTCAGGAGGACTCTTCCTGTAGTTGGGTTTGCTGGGCTTTTCTTCCAAGGTTATGTTGCCCAAACCTCTGTGCAATATCTATTGAGTTCCTTCCACATGCCAGCCACTATGCAAAGGCACTGGGGCCACCAAAGAGATGAGACTACCATGCACAAGAGTGCAAGTCTAGTGCGAGAGGCAGCCTGTGGAATTTGTGGGAGCACCCAGAAACATTTTGGGGCAAACATTCCCAGACTCCTTGGCCGTTCCACTGTCAGTTGTAAAGGATGCTGCCTTTTGTATGGAACCGCAAAAGACCCTGAATAGCCAGAGCAATCTTGAGAAAGAAGAACAAAGCTGGAGGCGTAACACTTCCTGATGTCAAACTATATTATAAAGCTGTGGTAATCAAAACAGTATGGTGCTGGCATAAATACAGATACATAGACCAGTGGAACAAAATTGAAAGCCCTCGCACGTATGGCCAACTGATATTTGACAAGGGAGCCATTGACAAGATCAGTCAATGGAGGAAGGATAATCTCTTCAATAAATGGTGTTGGAAAAACTAGATATTTACATGCGAAACAAAACAAAATTGGACACCTACATTATACCTCTTGACAAATTAACTCAAAGTAGATTAAAGACTTAAAAATAAGACTCAAGCCATAAAACTAGGAGAAAACATAGGAAAAACGCTTCTTGACATTGGTCTATGTGATGATTTTTTTTTGATACCAAAAGCACAGCAACCAAAGGAAAAATAAAGAAGTGAGATCACATCAAACTTAAAAACTTCTGCACAGCCAAAGATGATGATCAACAAAATGAAAAGGCAACCTATAGAAAGGAAGTAAATATCTGTAAAGCATGTATTTGATGAAGAGTTAACATCTAAAATGTACAAGGAGTTCATACTAAGTAGCAAAAAACCAATCCAATTAAAAAACGGGCAGGGACCTGAATAGGCATTTTTTTCAAAGAAGATCTTCAGATGGCCAACAGGTACATGAAGATGTGCTCAACATCACTAATCATCAGGAGAATGCAAATCAAAAGCACAACGAGATGCCACCTCACACCTGTTAGAATGCTACTGAAAAAAAAGACGAGATAACAGTTGTTGGTAAGGATGGGAGAAAAGGGGGCCCTCGTGCACTGTTGGTGGAAGTGTAAATTGATACAGACACTATGGAAAACAGTATGGAGATTCTTCAAAAAATTAAAAATGGAACTACCATGTGATCCAGTAATCCCACTTCTAGGTATATATCCGGAGATGATGAAATCACTGTCTCAGAGGTATCTGCACTACCGTGTTCATCGAAACATTATTCGCAATAGCCAAGACATGAAAGCAACCTAAGGGTCCATTAACAGATGAATGGATAAAGAAAATGTGTGTGTGTGTGCGCGCGCGTGCGTGTGTGCACATGAGGGAACCAAAGGAAGCTTCATGGAGGAGGTGACTTTTGAGCCAAGATTTGAAAGGTGGGAAGAAGTTTTAGGTAGTTGAACAAGTTGAGGGGTGCTCAGGGGACCGAAAGGGCATGGGTTTTGTGGTAGGAAGAACACCCCCACCCTTGCCAGATATGTCCGTGTCCCGTGAATATGTTATGTTAATTAAGAGGAAATTAAGATTGCTCATTGACTGACTTTGAGACGAGGAGGTTATTCTGGATTATCTAGGCGGGCCTAGATAATGTGATCACAAGGGTCCTTAAAAGTGGAAGAGGAAGGCCGGGGGGCGGAGGCTGGTATCACAGTGAGGAAGGAGATGTGATGACAGAAGCAGATGTTGGAGTGGCTTATCACTGGCTTTAGAGAGGAATGGGGCCCATGAACCAAGGAATGCAGGTGGCTTCTAGAAGCTGGAAAGGGCCAGGGACAAATTCTTCCTTAGAGCCTTAGACCTCCAGAAGGAGCATGCCTTGTTAACCCAGTGTGATGCATTATGGACATCTGACCTCCAGAACTGTAACATAATACATTTCAATTGTTTTACGCCACTAAGTTTGCAGTAATTTGTTACCGCAGTGATAGGGAACTCATACCGGCTTCTTTGGGGACAGCCGTGCTCAAGGATGTGAAGAGAATTCAGCTTGGTCAGATACTCTGTATGTGTGAGAGAGAGGGAGGAAGAGAGAGAGAAAAAAAGAGAGAGGGGAGGGGAGGGAGGGAGGAGGCTGGAGAGGACAGAGGAGCAGATGACTCTGGGCCGGGGTTCCTTAACCTTGGGACTGTAGCCATTCGGGGCAGATATCATTGTGGGGGCCGACCTGGGCATTGTAGGGTGTTTATTAGCATCCCTGGCCTCTAACCAATAGATGCCAGTAGCACTTCCCACCCCATCCCTAGTTATGACAACCAAAAATATCTCTAGACATTGCCAAATGTCCCTGAGGATAGGTAGGGGTTGAAAACTAAGGAGTTTCGATTTTATTCTTAAGGGCCACATATCCCTAAATTTCTAATCATTAAAATGATTAGGGGAGGGTGCCTTTTTAAACATAGAAATTCTAGGACTTTCCTGAGGAGGTTTTGCTTTCGTAGGTGTAGTGTGGGATTTTAAATCTATAATTTTAACAAGTCTCCCTGGTGATTTTTATGAACAGGCACTTTAGAAAACCTGTTCCAAACGGGCGAGGAAGAACTGAAATTTGGCATGGGTGGGACCTGGTCGGAGCTGGCTGTGAGTGCTCAGGAAATCTGTAGACGAGAGCTTAGGGGCAGCCTCAGACTTCCTGAGGTCTGTCTGCTTCTGGCTGGATCTCCGGTTCTTGGCCCAGTGCCTCTCTCACAGCCAGGACTCAGCCACTGTTTGTAGACTGTGAGGCAGCCAGACTGTTCAGGGTTCTATGTTTGGGCCTCAAACCAACCTGTAAAAACTCAAGCAAGTCACGCCACTATTCTGGTTGTCATTTTGATCTTTTGTGAGATTATATAATTACAACTTCCTAATAGGATTATGGTGAAGAAGGAGACTCACAGATGTGCATGTACTTTGTAAAGTGAAAGCTTTTGCCTAAGAGTGCGCCCTGGGTTTTGGTAGCTGTTATCATTCTTGGCAATAATAGATGGGGTCTTGTCAGAATGGGATGGGTAGGGGTACCTTTGAAGAAGATGTAGTTGACCAGGATAAGTGTGGCCGGGCTATCCAGCTCCAAGAACGAATCCATGATTTTCCCCTGCGTCTTATTCTTGATGTACTCATTGATTTGTCTGCTGGCTCTGGCCCAGTCCTGGAAATCTGTAGCCAAGGTGTCCAACTCATAGTAATGTTTGGTGTCTGCTGAGAACGACTCCAGAAGCTCTAGGCTCTGGTTGAGGAACACGGTGTTGCCCATGATCATTTCCAAGGTGTCATCTGACTTGCTGAGGAGGTGGTGGAGTTTCCGGAAGCCCTGGTGGATCTTGGCCTCTGGTGTCTCAGTGAGGTTGAAGCCCAGGCCCTGGAGAAGCTGGGCCCGAGTGTGGCCGCGGGCACCCAGGGACAGCATAGCCAAGGCCATGGAAATGCTCACAGGGGAGATGAAGACGTTCTTGCCAGGAGCTGAGGCCACTAGGTGCTTGTACAGGTTGAAGGCAAAGTCAACATTGCTTGGAGCCAAGTCCCGGTGGTAGCTTCTCATGCTCACGTTGACATTGGGGTCCTCAGCCTGGACAGTCCAGAGGCCACTGCAGGACAGCCAGAGGAGACAGGTGTAGAAGGTGAGCAGCATCGCTCAGGATGGCTGGGCTCTGCAAAATTAGAAATGCTCGTTAGATGATATGGAGTCTCCAAGGCAGTGGGGCAGATGACCCCACTGAAGATCCCATTCAGGCCCCATTTCCTTCTTCTACATTGGCTGTGTGACCAGTCAGGACTCTGGGACTCAATTCCCTTCTCTGAAAGTATGATTTCTATCTGCCATGATTTACCGAGTATCTACCAGGTGCCCAACACTGACCTAGGTGTTTTGCCGGTATTTTCTCCTAACCTTCACCAACAAGCTAATAAAGTAGATAATTATTTTTATGTTAGGTAGGCAGAAACAGATGCTTGGAAAGGTTAAATAGCCACCCAATTGATATATTCAAAGTACTAAAAGAAAAACACTGTCAACCAAGAATTCTCAGCTCTGGCAAAAGTGTCCTTCAAAAATGAGGGCGAAATTAAGACATTCCCAGATAAACAAAAGGTGTGGGAGTTTATTACCACTAGATCTGTCCTGCAAGAAATGCTAAAGAGAGTCCTTCTGATTGAAATTAAAGGACACTAGAGAGTAAATAGGATCTATATAAGGAAATAAAGATCTCTGGTAAAGGTAAATATATGAGCAATTATAAAAACTAGTATTATTGTAATTTTGGTTTGTAACTTTATTTTCTATGTGATTTAAAAGACTAATGCATAAAAAGCAATTATTCATGTTTTTGGATGCACAATGAATAAAGATGCAATTTGTGACAACTGAAAGGATGTGGGGACAAAGCAGAGTTTTTGTATGCTATTTAAGTCGACAAATTCAAATGAGAGTGTCAGAAAAAATAAGAGTTTTATAATTTCCCTGGTAACCATAAAGAAAATAGCTATAGAATATACACAAAAGGAAGTGAGAAAGGAGTTAAAATGTTTCACTGCAAAAAAGTCAACTAAACACAAAATAAGACAGTAATACAGGAAATGAGGGGGAAAAAAGCTGGAAGGCATATAGAAAACAAATAGGAAATTGGTAAAAATATATCTCTCATTAGTAATTACTTTAAATGTAAATGGGTAAAATTCTCCAATCAAAAGACATAGATTGGAAGAATGGGTTGAAAAAAGATGATCCAACTATCTGCTGACTATAAGAGACTCGTTTTAAATCCAAAGACAAAAGTATGAAAATGAAAGAATGAAACAGATATTCCATGTAAATAATCACCAAAAGAGAGTGGGGGTGAAGTAGCAGAAGAAAGGAAACAATAAAGGTTAGGACACATAAATAAAATAGAGACTAGAAAAACGAGAGAATCAATGAAACCAAAATATATATCTAATCAATATAGTTAATACAGTACTATGATAATCAAAAAGATTAACAAAATTGACAAATCTTTAGCTAGGCTAAGAAAAAAGTCTCAAACCGCTCAAATCAGAAATGAAAGGGGGGACGTTACTACCGATTCTATAGAAATAAAAAGAATCAGAACGTTATGAAAAAGTTGCACACCAACAAGTTGGATAACATAGATGAGATGGAAAAACTTCTAGAAACACAAAACGTACCAAGACTGAATTACAAAGAAATAGAAAATCCGAATAGACCGAAATGGAATCAGTTATTGAAAACCTCCCAACAAAGAAGAGCCCAGGAGCACATGGCCTCACGGTCGAATGTTACCAAACGTTTAAGGAATTCACACAAATCCTCCTCAGACTCTTCAAAAAAAATCGAAGAGTCTAACTCATTCTTCGATGCTAAAGCCAGAGAAAGACACTGTAAGAAAAGAAAACTACAGATGATGCCGCTTATGAATATTAATGCAAAAATCCTCAACAAAATACTAGCAAATAGAATTCAGCAGCATATTAAAAGGATTATACATCATGACCAAATGGAATTTATTCCAACTCTGTTAGAATGAATAAATACAGCAAAGTAGCAGGATATAAAATCAACACACAAAAACCAGTTCCGTTTTTATATACTAGCAATGAACAATCTTAAAAGGAAATTAAGAAAACAGTTTTATTTACAATAGCATCAAAAAGAATAAAATACTTCTGAGATAATTTAACCAAAGAGATGAAAGACTAATACACTAAAACTAAAAAAAATATCGTTGAAATTAAAGAATATATAAATAAATGGAAAGACAGACATCCTGTGTTCATGGATTGGAGGACTTAATATTGTTAACATCAGTGCTACCTAAAGAAATCTATGGATTCAGTGCCATCCTTATCAAAATCCTAATGTACTTTGCACAAAAAGAAAAATCCATCCTAAAATTTATTAGAATCTCAAGAGACCTTGAATAATCAAAACAGTCTTGAAAAAAGAACAAAGTTGGAGATCTCACACATCCTGATTTCCAAATTTACTACAAAGATACAGTAATCAACAGTATGGTACTAGAATAAAGGCAGACATATAGAGAGCGATAGAATAGAGTAGAAAGGCCAGAAATAAACTTTTGCCTATATGGTCAAATGATTTTTGACAAGGGTACCAAGACCATTCAATGGGGAAAGGATTTTTCAATAATGGTGTTGGAAAACTGGATATCTACATATAAAGAATGAAGTTGGACGCTTATACCATAATACAAAAATTAAAATAAATCAGAGACTTAAATGTAAGAGATAATAAAACTCAGGAGAAAACACAGAGGAAAAGCTGTATGACATTGAGTTTGTCAATGATTTCTTGGATATGATACCATAAGTATAGGCAACAAAAGAAAAATTGGGCAAATTGGGCTTCACCAAAAAAAATCTTGTTCATTAAAGGACACTATTAATAGAATAAAAAGGCAACCGACAGAATGGGAGAAAATACAAGTTACATATCTGATACAGGATTAATATCTAGAATATATAAAGAACTCATAAAATTCAAGTACAGAAATACAAAAATACCAACTCAATTCGTAACATGGGCAAAGGACTCTAGACATTTCTCATAGACGATACACAAATGGTTAATAAGCACATGAAAAGATGCTCAACATCTGTAATCATTAGAGGAATGTAAATCAAAACCATGATGAGATATAATTCATACCTATTAAGACGTCTATTACAAAAAGCAAAACAAAACAACACAGAAAACAAGTGTTGGCATGGATGTGGAGTAATTGGAAACCTTGTGCGTTGCTGGTGGGAAGGTTAAATGGTGCAGTCATGTGGAAAAGAGCATGACAGTTCCTCACATAATCAAACAATTGCCATTTGATCCCACAATTCCACTTCTGAGTACATATACAAAAGAATTGGAGGCGGGCACTCGAACAGATATTCGTACACACCAGTGTTCACAGCAGCATTATTCACAAGAGCCAAAAAATGGAAACAACTCAAATGTCCATCACTGGATGAATGGCTACACAAAATGTGACTGTATAAGGAAAACTCTCCTGGGATTCTCCTCTTCTCTTACACTACTACCATGCTTCACTTCTGTGTGGGTTTTCCACACATCGAGCAATTCTCTGACACCAGCTGGGTGTCCTACCATTTAACTCAATTCTGACACTAACTATCTGGAGATGGTGTCAGATCCCACAGGGGCTCAGTCCCATGAGACTGCCTCTCCCTCGCTTCAGATTCTACTCTCAAGTCCCAAATTGTCACTTGTACTTCAAACTGGCTGTAAATCAGAGTTCTCATGACCCCCTACTTGGGTTCGTAATTTGCAAATGGCTCACAGAACTCGGGCTCTGTGAGCCATTTGCAAATTGACCAGTTTATTATACATTGACCAGTTTATTATAAAGGACATAATAAAGACTGTGCGTGAACAGTGAGATGAAGGTGGGGTCTGGGAGGGTCCCAAGCACACGAGCTCCTTTCCCAGTGGAGTCGGGGTGCACCACCCTCTCTGTATGCAGTGTGTTCACAAGCCCAGAAGCTCTCTGAACCCCGGGCTCCGCGGGTTTGCGTGGAGGCTTCTTCACGCAGGCAGGATCGCTGATTAACTCAGTCTGCACCCCGGAGGTTGAGGGGTGGGGCTGAAAGTTCCAAGCTTCTAATCGTGCCCTAATCTTTCCGGTGATCAGTCCCCATCCCGAAGTTACCCAGGAGCCCACCAAAAGTCACCACATTTGGACAAAAGTCACTGCTATCACCCAGGAAGTTCCAAGGGATTTAGGAGCTCTGGTCAAAGACCAACTATTAGAACAAAAGATGCTCCTGGTGCTCGTAGCACTGAGAGACAGGGGTTTTAGAAGGTCTGTGCCAGGAACTGGGGGCAGAGATCTATATATATCTATAGATATATAGATATCTATAGATATCTATGTTTTCTACTATTTCACAGTGTTATGTACAAACAATGGACTGCTATTCAGCCTTTAAAAGGAAGGGAATTGCTACACGCGCTACAACATGGATGAACCTTAAAGACATGCTGAGTGAAATAATGCAGCCACAAAAAGACCATCGTGTGATTCCGCTTACATGCAGAGCCTAGAGCAGTCAAAAGCTGGGGAGGAGGGGACGGGAGTTAGTGTTTAATGGGCACAGGTCCGTTCGGGAAGATGGCAGTGTTCTGGGGATGCCGGTGCTGATGGCTGCACAACCATGTGAATGTACTTAATGCCACTGCACCGTGATCAGAAATGGCTTAAATGATCAATCTTTTGTATATTTTACCCCAAAAATAACCTCAGGGAAAAAATGTATTTCATTTAAAAATGTTTGCTTAGAGCAACTGAAAAAAAAAATGCAGCTGAGATCAGAATCAGTAAGTGGATGCTCTGTTCTCGAGGCTCACGGTCACAAGCCCTGTGCCTTATGGAGCCACCTAACATCCCAATAAAGAAGGGATGCTTATAGGAGAAGCAGGTCCCCCTGCAGTCCCCTACCTAGGGGACCAGCCACTCTGAGAGGGGCCAGGAACTCACAGTGAAACCAGTCCCCCAGGAGAGTGTGGTGCATTCAGAGCACGGGAAGAGCTGGTGTGCTCTGGGACAGCCCGAGGCCTGTCCCCGCTCCAAAACCAGAGCCTTCACGGGGACAGGTGCACACGTC